AAAATACAGAGCTGCTGAAGTCATTGCTTGACACACTTGCCAAAATTGTTACAAAAGAAATGGTGAAAGTGATGATTTGGAAGCAAAGCAAATGTCTCTGTCATATACTAGTCCTGAGAAGTGGTGGGAAACTTAAAATGCAAATATCCAATTTCTGACAGGATTGATGTTATTTGCTGCAAATTAATCTACCAGTCTTATGAATTTAGCTAATCATAATATATTTATGATATATTCCCTAAATAAATAAGTTCATGAAGACTTTGTGTTCTGCCAACCTTTTCCAATTCAAACAACTGGAGATTTTCTTCTTTCCTTTCTTCTTGCCTTCCTTGTATCCTTTACTCATTCATCTTATAATTCCTGTGCACTGTTCCATCTAATAAGAACACAGCAGGGTTGTGAACAAGAGATAAGATCCCTTCCTTCATGAATCTTACATCCTGCTAGGAGGAAACAGACAATGAAAAGAAAAGAAAAATAATAGATAGGAATAAATGCTATCCAGAGAATTGAATAGAGCAATGTTGTAAAAGTAAGTGGGGGGATCTGTAGGTTGGGTGGTCAGGCAAGCCATCTCAGAGAAGGTAACAATTAAGCTCACCCCTGAATGACAAGAAAGAACCAACTCTGAAAACAACAGGGGGCAGAACATTCCAAGCAGGGACAGCAGGTAGAGAGCAGTTCTCAACATGAAAGACATCCCCTTCTAGGAAGCATTTGCAAATGGGGAGGGGACAATGATCAGGGTATTTTACTAGCATTTTTTTTTTTTTGTACTGGGGATTGGACCCAGGGGTGCTTTACCACTGAGCCACATCCTCAGCCATTTTTTTTTTTAATTTTGAGACAGGATCTGGTTAAATTGCTGATGCTGGCCTTGAACTTGTCTCAGCCTCTTGTCACAGTCTCCCAAGTCTGGGATTACAGGCAAGCACCACCCCACCAAGATTCTTCTGGCATTTCATGGGCAAACGCCAGGATGCTGCACATCTATAATGCACAAGATAATCCTGCATGGCTTTCAAAGATCCCACCAGACCATGTAGATAGAAAATCTGTTTATCAGGATTGAGAACTTAATTCCGCTTTACCCTTAAAAACAAAACATGTTTTGCACAGTGTTTTTATATATGGTATTTTCTAATGCAAGCACCATGTAAATAGGAAGATTGTGTTTTCTTCCATTCAGAATCAAGAGTTGTTTGCTTTAAAAAATAAAAATAAAAAACACCTCATCAATGACTAAACAGTACCACAGAAAACTATCTGATGGGAATGCTTCAGAGAAATTGATAATACATGTCCATGGTGAAAAGAAAAGAGAGGGGAAAGTGAAGTCAAAACACAATCCCTCTTCCACCTCTATTCCCATGTATTCTGGTTTCCTTCCCCAAAGAAAACCTGATTATCAGGTTTGGGGATTTGTTTTGTTGTTGTTGTTGTTGTTGTATCCTTCTGGAGAAATAATTTCATTTTTATTTTAAAGGAAGGAAAGACGAATGGGAGAGAGGGAGGAAAGAAAAAAGGTGGGGGAGGGAGGAATGACAGAAGGAGGAGAAGTAAAGGGAGAAGAAAACAACCTCAAATAAATTCAAAATTATTTGAGCACAAAGTCACAGAGTATGCATACACATATCACCAGTGGCTATCTCAGAGCATAGATGTCACTTTCCTTAGTACACTTCTGTACTATCTTGGTACAACAGATATGTACCACTTTTATAATTTATGCAATTCCATAAGAGTGCTGCTGAATAAAAGAAAAATCAGGAGGTAGGAATCAAACAGCATTAGTATAAATGCTGTAAAATAGATTATAAGAAATATTAGGGGGTTGGAGTTGTGGCTCAGTGGTAGAGCACTCACCTAGCATGTGCGAGGCCCTGGGTTCGATCCTCAACACCACATATAAATAAAGGTATTGTGTGCAATTACAACTAAAAAATAAATAAATGTGTTTTAAAGAGAAATATTAGCAAGTTACACTAAGATAATATGGTGAGCAGTTAGAAGAGAAACAGAAAAGTTAGAGTTGGAGAAATAACAAACCATTAGCATCTCCCAAAGCCTGAATAAGGTGATTGTCTGGAATGAGCTAACCACCTTTCTCCTGTTACAACTGTACTTCTAAAATATTTTAACTGACTGCCTATTCCCCCCCCTTTTTTTTAGTTATATACTTACTTTTAATATAGGACCCAAGTTTCATATCATATATATTTCCCAAAGTTGGAGACTTTAATGATGCTCTTCAAAGACATTTCAACAAGTTTGAAAAAGAGATGGCAAGGTTAGTTTGGGTCTACAAGACACAATACAACCACTGGATACCCTCAGGGTTGTATTTATGCTTAAGATCAATATATAGGGCTGGGGATGTAGCTCAGTGGTAGAGCATTTGCCTAGCATGAAGGAGGCCCTGGGCTCCATCCCCAGCACCACACACCCAAACACAAATCAATGCACATATTTTGCCCAAAGCTTAGTAAATGAATGAGACTAGCTGAATCAAATATGAACACATCTTGTTAGCACATTATCATGAAAACACAGAAGGCATCAGATATATACTTTGCTGTTACTCATTTTACTGTTCATTATCTGCAGAGAAAATATACTAAAATATACTTTTGAGATTAAAATAAACCATCAGCTCATTATCTTTCTTGGCCTCTAGCTATGAAGACTTAAAATGGTCCTTCTTGCATCTGGCTCACTTGAAAATCTTATTTGTGCTGAAGGGGGGGGGGGAGGCAGGGTGCTGGCAACGCTAAAGAAAAGAGTATTCAGTTCTCAAGACTGGTACAACTGAAACTCTCACATAAGTTGCCTTAAAACAAAACCAAATGACACAGCTCAGTTGATCCCATCTCCATACAATAGGGTATTGCATCAATTATTCCAGTCCCAGGCGAAGCTCCCTGCAAGGGCTTTAGGATCCAGTTCTGTTAACAACAGAATGCTTTAGCACAGGCTAGTGCCTGAAGATTTCCTTATCACAGTCCCAAATCCCAATTCAAGTCCTTTAAAAATTTGTTATCCTCTGATTTCCAGTCATAGACCTACTTTTGCCAATTTCCCACAACTATAAAATTAACTTACAGGAACACAGGATAATTCACAAAACATGAAAAATAAGCATTTCCCAATTGCTGAGAGCAGAGCAGGGATTCCGTAAGTATAACAAGTTCTCCCAATCAAAGCCCTGCAGCGCCTTCTAGAAAAACTTCCTTCATTTCTTAGTGTCAGAAATATTCAAAAATATTCAAAATCCTATCTTAGCAATTTTAAAATATACAATAAATTACTATAAATGTTTGAGGCAATGGATATGCTAATACAGTGATACATTATATACATGTATCCAGTATCACACTGCACCATATGAATATGTACAATTACTATGTGTCAATTTAAATACACACAAAACAAACACACACACACTTAAAAAAAGAATTCATTTATTGTTAGTTGATGTACAAAGTAATACACAGTCCTAAAAGCAACTGGTCCCTTGGACATCTTGCTCACACTAATAGACTGTTCACTGTCCCTGTCCTTGTAATTATTATTATTGATATGGATTTTTTTAAAAAGAGAGATAGCTGGACATGGTGGGGCACACCTGTAATCTTAGCAATTCGGGAGGTTGAGGCAGGATGAACCCAAGTTCAAGACAGTCTTGGCAAGTTAAATAAAACATTTAAAGGGCTGGGGGAACAGCTCAGTGGTAGAGCACCGTAGTTAATCCCCAGTAATGAAAAAAAAAAAAAAGTCATGGAGCCAGCCTAGCGCAGTAGTGCACACTTATAATTCCAATAACTTGGGAGGCTGAGACAAGAAGGATCACAATTTAAAGTCAGTCTTGGCCATGTAAAGAGGCCCTCAATAACCTAGCAAAACCCTGTCTTAAAATAAAATAAATTTTAAAAAAGACTGGGGATGTAGCTCATTGATAGAGCCCTATTGGGTTCAATCTCCAGTTTAAAAAAAAAGACAAAAATGCAAGTTTTTTAAAACTTATTAAAATCCTTCTTGGACTCTGGTCAAGTCACTCTTAGAGCCCTTCTTTGCCTCTAATTGTCCCGGTAAGTAACAGAACCACTGATAATGTCGCTACTGGAGTTATACTTACAGTACTAATGAATGCGAGTGTAGCTCTTAGTAGATGTTGGCAGAAAAGCAATCAAGATTTAAATTCTGACTCTGCCTTCTAGTAGTATCGTGACCCTTAGCAAGTCAATGTCTTTGGATCTTAGTTTTCTCTGCTGTAAAGTACCACCATAACTATCATATGTACTGCTTACCTATCCCAGTCATTGTTCGTTTAATCCTCACAACAACCCTTAGGAAAAAGAGACCATAATCTTCACGTCACAGATAAAGCAACTGAGGCACAGTGAGATTCAGTGACTTCCCCAAGGTCACACAGCTGGCAATTTGCAGTCAAGATTCTAAGGCAGGATCCAGATTCCAGGTTCTAACCACCAACCCTACAGCCTTAGGTCATGCCTACTAAGGGCTGTTGTGAGGATTCACTAAGATGATATTTGTAAAGTCCAGGACTTGGCAAGTGTCTGATAGGTAGTAGCCATGGTTATTACTGGTTTGTCCATTCTACACTGCGTAATGTTCTGGGCTTTTTATTGGGGCAGGGGGAAAAAAAAGATTGGAGAGAAAAGGAGAAAGAGGAAACAGCAGGGGGAAGAAGAGGTCTAGGAGGCTTGAGAAAAGGGGCAAACCTGAAGAGGGGCAGAGGAATCTCTGAACACTTAGAAAACAAAAAATTCTAGCTGGCTAGGCCTTGAGAAAATACACTGACAGTTCTCAACTGACAACCGAGTCATGACAACTGTAGAGTCCCCATGCCATTCAACCAGGAGGCCTCACCCCGGGTCAGCTGGCCCTCGACCCCACCCCTAGCCCCAAGGCAGGCTCAGGCGTGGACGGTGTTTCAGTTCCTCCCACGGGTCCGCCCCACGCCGGGCGGGGCCTGGCCTGCCCCCTTTGCTGGTGGCCCACGAACCCCAGGCCCGAGCCACGCGGTCTCCCGGGCCAGGCCGGGCCGGGCCGGGCTCCATGGCTACGTGGAGGCGGGACGGCCGGCTGACCGGCAGTCAGCGGCTACTGTGCGCGGGGCTGGCGGGGACGCTCAGTCTCAGCCTCACAGCGCCCCTGGAGCTCGCCACCGTGCTGGCCCAGGTCGGCATCGCACGAGGCCACGCCCGGGGACCATGGGCCATAGGGCGCCGGGTGTGGCGGGCCGAGGGGCCCCGAGCCCTGTGGAAGGGGAATGGGGTGGCTTGCCTGCGCCTCTTCCCCTACAGCGCTGTGCAGCTCGCCGCCTACCGCAAGTAAGAGCTGGGTCGGCGCGGGCGGGGCAGGGAGGCCGGGACTGGGCCCGGGTGCCGTGCGGCGGCTCACCGCCACCTTACTGTCTGAGGTCGGGCCCTATAGTGGGGCCTGACCCCTTCCACATCACATGGGGACTCTCAGAGCAGTTAGGCCACAAGGCCACACCTGGAGCCCCAAAGCCCAGTCCCTAAGTTGTTCACTTCCAGGGATTCCTGCCCTGGAAGATGCAGTTTTGTGGCACGCAGCCCAGGCCCTGGGAGTTTTCCCCGAGTGAAAGGGGTGAGGAGGTGGAATGGAGATTTGGGGTAAAGGAATGAGTTCTCCAAAGATGACTCCTGACCGTTCCCATCAATTCAACAACTTGGAAATTTTTGCTTTGGCTGGCTTAGGAGAGAGACCCTCTTGAAGGTGTGTGTGTGTGTAAGTGAGTCTGTGTGGCCAATGCCCAAGAAAAAAGGTCTCAGTTGGGTGGGAGGGACTGGTTCCTCACCTCACAAAAGCCAAAGATTCCTGCCCACTCTCATCCCCAGCCCCAAACCCAGATTAATGCAAGCTTGACTTTATACCCCAATGAAGGCTGCAGCTTCCCTGCCCCTAAGCTGTGAAGGGTCCCCTGGGTCTAATGCTTCACCTCACCCCTTTGCCCACTGGCCTTGTTCTTTGGGCTTTTGCACTTTCTCCTGCATCCATAGCTACTCCTTAGGAAAAAATCTAGATATGCACATGTGGAACGAGCCCAAAAGCTTCCTCAGGGCTTAGAGATATTTGTCTTGAAACTGGAGAAGCAGCCTAAAAGAAAACTAGAAGCAATGGCATTCTAGGAAAGGGAGCAGTTTCTGTATTTGGAAGGATACTCCTTGTGTTCTTATTCAGTGGGCACTGGCCTTGTCTCTAAATTAGACAAACAGCACATAGCCCAGAGAGCAGATAAGTCTTTATTTGTTTGTGATTTTTTTGTTTGTTTGCAGCACTGGGGTTCAGACCCAGAGCCTCATGCATGCTAGACAAGCCCCTACCACTGAGCTACAACTCCAGTCTCAAAAGCTGGTGAGCCTTGACCTCGTAGTTTAGCCTTGGTGGCTAACAGTCAAAGGATTATTGCCTTGATGCTGTCACTTGGAAGGCTCACCTGACATGTCAAACAAAATCTTTCTCACAGAGTCCTCTCAGCTGGCATTCATTTTATTTCTGTCTGGGAGGAGCATTCCCTTCTCCTTCTCTGAGGAGAGGATCATGGGTAGGATTGTGTGGCATTTCTGTCAAGGCTGTATTCCCTCCACAGCCCCCCTTGCCCTCAGCAACATCTGCCTGCAGTCTGTAAATAATCTCTTCTAGGTTTTAATAATTGAATTTCTCCTCACCTCACCCTTTCTCCACAAAGTGATATGGAAATCTTCCTTTGCGTGGGATAGAAATGTGTACCATGGAACTGGAAGCAGAATTTCAAAAGGCAGGTTCAAGTATTGTGGCTTTTCTGCTAATCACTGTGTGTGTGTGTGTGTGTGTGTGTGTGTGTGTGTGTGTATCATTACATTTCTACAACTCCTGTCTCCTGCCCTGTAAGGTCTTTAGACAGGAAGAATTATGTCCATTTGACAGATGCAGAATTGGGCTCAGACTGGTATACTACATCAGTGACAGAGTTGAGTGCTACCACGGGGCTCTCTGACTCCATTTCTCATACTCTTTCTATTACATCTTGCCGCCTCACTCTCCCTTTCCCACCCCTCTCTCCAAATTTATTTGACATTAATTTAGTTAGGGTACATGAAGTACTCACTGTGTGCATAATGCTGGGAACAATGCAAGGATGGGAGGGGATGATCTCTCTGCCTCCAAGAGCTTATAGAGTAATATAAGAATAAGACCAGTAGACTAGTAGGTGCATCTCTAACCATAACATATGAAGTAGCATATGATTGTTGAGGATAAAGTGCTATAGAAATGTGCACATTGGATAAGGGAAGAAACAAAGAAGGCATAAAGACTTCACAGAGGAGGAACAAAGATTTGAGTTTGGCCTTGAGGTAAAGATCAGGAGAAAGAACTGCAGGTAATGTCAGCAAAGGCCAGAGGCGGGAAGGCATGCAGCATGACTGGAAATGCAGCAGGAAAGGCAGGTTGGGATATGATCTTGGAGGATCAGATTAAGGAATTTAGATTCAACTTGGTATGCAAGGTTAGCTGTGGGAAAATTTTTGCAGGGTGGGGGAGGAGGCAGTGTTGTGATTAAAGCAGTTCATGTAGAATGATTGTCATATGGTAGCATGGTAGGATGACTAGAAAGGAGGAAGGTTAGGGTGGCAGGACCAGTTAGGAACCTGTTGCTCTAGTCCACATGGCAACTGAGGGCACCTGAAATAGGCTAGTGACTGTAGAAGAGAACAATGCATGGGAGAACAGAGGGTTACATGAGCTAGATTTGCTAATATCTTTCTTCCTGCAGGATTATTTTCTTTCTGGAAGCTAAAAAGAAGTATTTCAATAAATGGCAAGGCATAGCCAGAAAGCAAAGTGGTTGATTAATCACAATGTCATCCTTCCTACCTAAAGATGATATTCATGATTCATCATTATACTGACTCATTTCTGCTCTTTTCCTGACGACAAATTTGTAAAACAGGTGGATGGGATAATGTCACTGCTTCTGCTCGTGAGTTTGAACAAAGCATAAACATTTGGCATGTTCAGGGAAACAGAGTGCTTAAGCCACTTGTCTCCAAACACAATGACACAGCTGGAACTTAAAACTAGGTCCTCTGGCTCCTGAAGCCACTCCAGAGCTCTGTCTACCATTTCACAGCAGAAATATCTGCTTACTCAAATTAAAGATCAAAAGAGTCCACTTGATAGTGTCTATCAGTAGGTAGGTTCCTGTCATAAACCAATGACAAAATGGATGGCTTACAAATACATCAAATAGAAGAACCTCTCTCAACTTTATTTTTCTATCTAAACTTTGGTTTGGGTCCCTGCAGCTCTGAAATTGTTTAGAACCAATGCCATTTCCTTGTTGAACAACTGCTCCATAAGCATGTGTTTGGCTACATTTGCTGCTAGCCTGTGTTAGGTTGAAGTGTTAGCCATTCTAACCACACGTATCCAAGGTGTGTGTAATGTCTGTGCTGGCTGAAAGGAAGGGGTTACTGCAGTTCACTAGCTTATCCAGATTCCCGGGGAAAAGCTTCTGTGCATGTATGTATGTGTGGGGGTGGGAGGAAGAACAGAAATGGGAACCCCAGCATTCCCAGCCAATCAGACAAGCATTTAAGATGTAGGGACCAGGATAACGTCATTTGTGGCCAATCAGGGTTGCTTGTCTTGATTTAGCAATTCTAATGAGAGATTGATGTTCTTTGTCCCTATGTCAGATGATAGGAGTCTGAGAAGAAAGGGTTACCTTTGGTTCTTCTTTTTAATTTTGTATATTTAATAGTAAGACCCTACTTGGGGCTGGGGTTGTGGCTCAGTGGTAGAGCACTTGCCTAGCATGTGTGAGGCCCTGGGTTCAAGTCTCAGTACCGCATATAAATAAAATAAAGGTCCATTTACAACTAAAATAAATATATAAAAAATAGTAAGACCCTACTTTATAAAATAGACTGATATAAGATAAGGTTCTACTTCTAGTTCAAGTCATCGAGAGGACCAAGGGCCTGTTTCCCACTGGTTGTTCCATTAGTCATTTCCTTATCAGGCTTGTTCAGCTCTCATTTATGATCTATGCTGAGAGCTAGCCCAGTGTCTGGCACATTATGGATATTCAACAAATGTGTAATTAATCAGTGTCCTAGACGTGGCCAAGTGGAATGGGGACTAAGGGTGGGACAATGAGAATGAATGATGTTTCTTTTGGCTATTCATACTCCACCTTCTAGGTTGTTTCAGCTGCTGCCAACATCCAGTCAAGCATTTCCACTTCCTCTGTCTTCCCTACCCCTCTAACTTGACAGCAGTGCCAAGGGAGAGGGGAGAGGAATGAAGAAGGATATAGACAGTAAGAATGAGGCAAATAGTATATTGGTGAATGCCAGCTTTAGTTACATGCATTATTAAAAAGTGGTTGGTTAACTCACTGGGTGCACTGGCACACACCTGTAATCCCAACTACTTGGGAGGCTGAAGCAGGAGGATTGAACATTTGAGGCCAACCTGGGCAACTTTTGAGACCCTGTGTCAAAAAGGGCTAGGGATGGATGTAACTTAGTGATAAAGCACTCCTGCATTTGATTTCAGTACTCCCCCTCCAAAAAAATAGTTGGTTTACTCAAAGGATTGTTTCAATTGACAGTTAAGGCGGGTTAACAAAATGAAGATTTTCCTACAGCTCAGAAGAGATGTGTTTAATCAATGAATGTTTTCTAGGAGCAGAGGTGCTAGCCTAGAACCTTTTAAGATGGTTTCACTTTAACAGTCACTCATCATGCACAGGGCCCGGGCCTGCTGACAGCTGAAGGAGCAAGAAATAATCTCTACGCTAGAGGTTTGAAAGCCAAAGTACTGGGGATGCTCTCATTTTAAATAAATAAATAAAACACTTATGTTAGCCTAGCTATGTTCACTTATATTTCAAACCTTCACTATCTCCCTCCCCATTTCCACTATTTGGCAGAAATTATTATTTTTTTCTGGCTTCAAGCCCTTTAGTATTTTGTTCTCATCAGCAAAGAGTAAAATCCCTTTGCTTCCTGGCCAGGGAGTGGATGAAAAGTCCCCTTGTAATGATTTCTACCAGGATAGGCCCTTGTGACTGGGGATGCCCTGCTTAGAAGAATTGTAACAGAGAAGCTTTATGTTTTGCCTTTGGAAAACTCCACCCAAATACATTTTAACTAAATTGTAAAACTGCAGAAAGATAAAAAGAATAGTCTACCAAACACTCAAACTGAATGGCCTCAAGTGATCCTCCCACTTTAGCCCCCTGAGTGGCTACAGGTATGGGTCACTGCATTGGGCAGCCACATTTCTTTTTCAGATACAAAAAGATGTAACAGAAAAAACTGAATTCTTCATTCTCATTTCCAGTCCCATTGCTTCTCCTCTTTCCCAGAGGTTTATTTTCATACTTCTTCATATATATTTATTCATGAATAGTATAAGGCATTGCTGTAAGGGTTTCTAAATTAAATAGATGGTTATCATACACTATATATCACTGCAGCTTACTTTTTTTCATTGAACATTATGCTTTTATGATTTATCTATATTGACAAATAGTTCCAAGCTCATTCATCTTAATGGTTATTTAATATCTATGGTATGACAGTGCCACAATTTATCCATCTCCTTACCCATGGAAGTTTAGTTTGCATGAGCTTTTCATATTTATAAATACTACTGTAGTATGTCTTCATACATATACTTGCAAGGGTTTCTCTAGAATGTACACTTACAAATGGAATTAATGGAATAAAGATAGATGTTTCTCCAGTTTCGATAGATACTGCAAAGTGGCCAAATTTCTATTTCTCCCAGCAATGGGTGAGACTTATTTCCAAATTTGAAAGCCAATTCCCACCATCATTTCACATTATCAGACTTTTTTGACCTTTGCTAATCTTCTTGGTGATAAATGGTATCTTGCCATTGTTTTATTTGTCATTTTTCTGGTAACTACTGAGACAGAGCATCTTCTTTTATAATTATTGTTAAAAGGAAAATTCCTTAGATCACTTAAAGCAGTAGAGCTTATTTGAACAAAACAAATACAAAATTCACATATCAAACAGCTCCCAGAATCAAGCAGGCTTGGCAAACTCCAAACAATAGTGTGGTCAGACATTATTTATAGTACAGTAGAATGAATGCCTAGAAAACAACTTAATTAGCCTCAGCCTAGTCAATCAACTAATCAGTTGGTTACAGCTTAAGGCTAATTATTTATAGCCTAATAAGTTAACTAACTGGCTATAGGACCTTCTGCAGCGAAAGTTCAGTTACTATGGTTAAACTCTGTATCAGGTCTGTTAGGCCCAGTATAGGTGCTCAATCCAAATCCATGACCTCCTACAAAACTTTAACATTACTAAAACTATATTTTCAAAACTCAATTTCTGGGATGCTGAAAGTCATCATTTCAAGAAATTCTATTTCTTTTTAAGTTTTAACAGGACTGAAAGAGTGCATTCCAATTTAGTATTTGCCAAGTACTTCTGTGTGTTTATACCTCACAGGCAAGCTAGACTTGACAGATATGCAGATAAAAGGGGAAACTGCAGCAGGGCAGGGTGGCGTACACCTGTAATCCCAGTGGCTCAGGAGGCTGAGACAGGAGGATTGAGAGTTCAAAGTCAGCCTCAGCAACTTAGCTAGGTGCTAAGCATCTCAATGAGACCCTGTCTCTAAATAAAATTTAAAATAGGGTTGGAGATGTGGCTCAGTGGTTGAGAGCCCCTGAGTGCAATCCTTGGTACTCCCCCCAAAAAAAGCAGAGGGGGGAACTGCTTGAAATGAAGTAGGAAGAATTTATGATAGAAATAAATAAAAGGGTTAGGTATCTTTTCTTTATTGCTAACTAGCATTATAAAAATATAGGATTTAAGGGGAAGGGAAGGGGCATGGTGGAATGAAATGGATATCATAACCCTAAGTACATGTATGAAGACACAAATAGTGTGAAAATACTTTATATACAGCCAGAGATAAGAAAAAATGTGCTCTATATGTGTAATATGAATTGTAATGCATTCTGCTGTCATATGTAACAAATTAGAATAAAAAAAGGATTTAAATACATTATTCATCAATTCTAATAGTAGAAATTACCACTTTATAAAGCACTTATTTCGAGAAGTAGTGTAAACACAATCCATATCTGATTCTTTTGGGATTTTCCCTATTTTCTCCCAGGTTTGTTGGGCTGTTCACAGATGACTCAGGCCATATTTCCCAGCAGAGCTCCATTGTAGCTGGGAGTCTCGCAGGCATAGTCTCCACCATTGTGACATATCCTACAGACCTCATCAAAACCCGGTTGATTGTGCAGAACATGCTGGAACCGACTTACAAGGGAATCTTCCATGCTTTTTCTACTATTTATCAACAGGAAGGGTTCCTGGCCCTTTATCGAGGGGTTTCCCTCACTGTTTTAGGTAAGATGGAACATTTCACCTTGTTCAAGAAAAGACTATGTTCGCTGGCATATGTGAATGTTTTACATACCTTTATAACCAGTGAAATCAGTTTCACCAAGGTCAAGTTCATATGAATTCAATCCATATAAAGCCAATTACTTTATTCTGTTCCATAACCATATACCCCATTCCTAAACTTTGGCCAGTCACATTCCATGGAAGAGAGGAGCACAGAATACAAGTGGTTCAGCTATACTGGTAGAAAAGCAGACCTCAACGTTGCTGCTGGGCAGCATGATCTTTTCAAATGCATTTGTTTCACCACCTGCCCTTTTTAAAAGCCTTCCTTGGCCTCTTCTGAGCTAAGGAGGAAAACTCAAACTCCTTATGGCATTTCAAATCCTTCAGACCTGCCCCTGCCAATCTAGTCCACCTTATCCCATCCAGTGCCACCTGCACTCATGTGCAACCATACAGGACTTGTGTTTCCCAGAAATACTATTCCTTCATACATGCCATTCCCTCTGCCTGAACTGCCTTTCCACTCTCTTTATGCCTAATGAACTCCTAATCCATTCCTCCAGACCAAGTTTAAAAGATCTCTCTTCTGTCAAGTCCTTCCTCATTCTCCCAGTCAAACCGAATCCTTTCAATCCTTGTGTACCTAAAGCATGTTGTATAGGCCCCTATTATGATGCATATCAGGGACCATACCCTTATTAGTTTTTCTGGGATCTTTTTTATTTTTTATTTTTAGTTGTAGATGGACACAATACCTTTATTTTATTTGTTTTTATTTTTATGTGGCACCAGGGATCGAACTTAGTGCCTCACACATGCTAGGCAAGTGCTCTACCACTGAGCCACAACCCTGGCCCTTTCTGGGATCTTTTGCCCTTGATGATAACTATCTCCAAGAATTGGCCTGCACCCTTGTATTCCCAGCACCTGGCATAGGGCCCAGCACATACCATGAACTCTCCAAATTTTTCTGAATAAAGGTAAAAGGGAGGTTGGTGATTCATTTTTAATATGTTCATTAAATAGGGGCTGGGGATGTGGCTCAAGCAGTAGCGCGCTCGCCTGGCATGCATGTGGCCCGGGTTCGATCCTCAGCACCACATACAGACAAAGATGTTGTGTCCACCGAAAACTAAAAAAAAATAAACATTAAAATTCTCTCTCTCTCTCCCTCTCTCTTTCTTTAAAAAAATATGTTCATTAAATAAATATTACCTGGTCTAAAGGTAAGCAATCCCACTTGTGTTATCTCCTCTTTTAAATCTCATTTTGTGGGAGAAATTTAGTCCCTCTGTAAGCCAAAGATGTCGCCCAGTTTCTGGAAGTTTGTAAGAGGGCCACCTACTGTGTTAGTGGCTCACCATCTTAGTTACTAGAAAGGTGAGGATGCCTCACAAGGTAGCGTGCCCACTGGGCCCTGATAAAACTGTGTCATTCTCAAAAGCAAGGTCAGATATCCTCTCCAAATACAGTTTTCACAAAATACTTTCTTAGCTAGAGACCAGTCCCTTCTAAGCTCCAAAATGTAATTAAGTGCTGCCCACTAACTTTCCTTTTATGGGAGTGATTTTTTCCCAACATTTTATTTGAGATTTCCAGAAAAGTTAGAAGACTTATAAACACCATATATCTACCATTTAGATGGTACACTTATCATTTTGCCAGGGTGGAGGTGGGAGTTCGTTGTTTTTGTTTTGTTTTGGGGGGGGTTGTTTTTATTTGCAGTACTGGGTATTCAGCCTAAGGGCACTCTGACACTGAGCTATGCCCCCAGTCCTTTTTATTTTTAATTTTAAGACAGGGTCTCACTAAGTTGCCCAGGTTGGCCTCAAACTTTTGTTCCTCCTGCCTTGGCCTCCCAAATAGATGGGATGACAGGTGTGTGCCATCATACCCAGCTCACTTAACATTCTTGCTTTATCACATATCTATCCATCCTAATCTTCAGCTCATCTTTTTTTAAATATTTTTATTTTATTTCTATGTGGTCCTGAGGATCAAACCCAGTGCCTCACACATGCTAGGCGAGCGTTCTATCTCTGAGCCACAACCCCATCCCTTATCTTTTCATTGACAATTTCAATGTAACTTTTGAACACCAGTGCACTTGATCCTTCATCCCTGAATACTGCAAATGTATATCATTAACTCAAGTTCAATATTTACATTTCTATTTATGTTGAATTTATATATAGTAAAGTGCACACAAACCTTCACCTATAATGAACTATTTGATGCATTTTGATGAATGATACAACCCCTATCAAAATACAGAAGTCAGCTGGGCATGGTGGCACATGCCTGTAATCTAAGCAGCTCAGAAGACTGAGGCAGGAGGATTGCAAGTCCAAAGCCAGGCTTAGCAACTTAGCAAGGTGCTAAGCAACTCAGTGAGACCCTGTCTCTAAATAAAATATAAAAAGGTCTGAGGATGTGGCTCAGTCTTTAAGTGCCCCTGGGTTCAATCCCTGGTACAAAAATTGTGTGTGTGTGTGTGCGCACTCGCATACGTGTATGTTAAAAGCATATATATATATGGTTTTAACAGACTGTTCAATCCATATAGAGCTAATTACTTTATTCTGTTCCATAACCACATACCCCACTCCTAAACTTTGTTTTCTCCAGACAGCAGCCTCTTGTTGCTTTGCAGGTGCTCTTCCATTCTCCACGGGCTCCCTTCTTGTTTACATGAACCTTGAGAAAATCTGGAACAGACCCCGAGACCAGTTCTCTCTGCTGCAGAACTTTACCACTGTCTGTCTGGCTGCTGCTGTGACCCAGACCCTCTCCTTTCCCTTTGACACCGTGAAGAGAAAGATGCAGGTGAGACGATGCCTTGAAGTGTTTGTGGGTGGATAACAAAAACAGCAAAGAATACCAGCCCCAAGTAATGCCAGGCTTCCGAGGAGCTCATGACTGCTTGTGCAAATACTATGCAAACCCCAACTCTGTGGCATTTCTGCTGCTAACCTCAGGGCTGTTCGGCCTGAGCCCAAGCTGCCACCTGATACCATACTCTGTTCTCAGTCTTTTATGAAGCTTCCAAATAAGGCCCCTTTCAGTCCTCTCCTCCTGGATACATCATTGTGGTTCTCCTTCCTCCAAGATTCACATAGTAGTATAGGTGCTTCATCAGTGCACCTTGCCTCAGTGAATTGACTGCCTAGGACAAATAAGCCAACAATTCTAGCCAGCAAGGATCCACTAGTCCCTGACGCCCTCACTGAGGACTAACTGCAGGACTAATGGATAAAATAGGCCACATCTTAGTGGGATTGACCATGCATTGTCCTAATTGTTACCTGGGGAAACTTGCATTTTTTTCTATAGACCATAGAGGCAAGCCTAGTAGCAGAGCTTTCAAACTGAATAATTGGTTTATCCTAGAATGAGCCAGTTTTGATCAAAGAAAAATCAGACTGGTGCAAATAAGGCTGGGGAAGTATAGCCACATGTGCATAATAGGAGCAGGCTCCCAATCCAAGCACGATTGAGGCTTTGCATATTCCTTTAATCTAGATCTCTCCCTTAAAATTACACCTCCATTGGCTTGCTTGTCTCCCTTCTTTACCTCTTCTGGACAATTCCTGATTTATATAATTGATATATTCCTGAAGAGCTGTATAAAAATGAATTGGGGGTCAGTTGAATGCAATTTTTTTTCTTGTTACTGAGAATTGAACCCAGGGGTGCTTTACCTCTGAGCTACATCCTTAGCCCTTTTTATTTTTATTTTATTTTGAGACACAGCTAATTACTTTATTCTGTTGCATAACCATATACCCCACTGCTAAGTTTCAGAGGTTGGCCTCTAACTTGCAATCCTCCTCCAGAATTGCTGGGATTATAGGCATGAGCCACTGCACTCAACTTGCAATTTTAAATTATTAGTCTCAGTCATTCATTTTTCCATGTGACTGACTTGTCCGCCTGCTTGCTCAGTGCCCCTCCCCACTTCCTGCTTCTTCTCTGTAGTATTCTCTGCTGATCTGGGCCATTGCTTACCTCAGCACTAAAAAGCCTGAAGGTACTTATCTATCAAAGCTGCCTTTGGACAAACACACATGATCACATTCATTTCTGCCACTTCAGTCTATGACACTTCTCATCTGTCTGGGTTATGTTTCTTTCCTGTCCCTGACCAGATAAATAATAGTCACATTGTTATAAATGTAGTGTGGGTGCAAATTGAGAGGCTGCTTAGTGCATACTTATTTATTAATAGCATTGTTTCTAATTTTAAAAGTTATATACACATACTTAAAATGGTTAACATGGTTAATTTTATGCTATATATGTTTGGCCACAAAAAAAGTAATGCATATAGGATATAGGGAATTGGAGGAATATATAAAAATACAAAAAAACCACAATAAATTATCCATAGGTGGGCATGGTGGCATACCTGTAGTTCCCAGCTACTTGGGAGGCTGAAGCAGAAGAATCAGTTGAGCTCACAGATGTGAGAGAAGCTGGAGCAACATAATGAGATCTGATCTCAAAATAAATAAATAAAAATAGAAATTACCCATCCCATCACTCCATGGGTTATAATGATGAAGAGTTTTTCTCTTATGTATATGTATGTATGTATAAATATAAGTATATATGTAAATATATGTAAGATTATTTCTTTTTATAGAATTGTATCCTGATGGTAAATAAAAATGAATTTCCTGCTTTTTTTCACTTATTATATAATGGGCTTTGCTCCAGGCTGTTAAGTATTTAATTATCATACAATATTCCACCAAATTGATGTGCCAGAAAATATTTAATAGTTTATCACTTTTTAAGAGTAATTTTTTCAAATTCTAAAGTATAATAACATTGCAATGAAAACCCTTATGTTTTTTTCAGACCTGTGATAGTACTCTTAGGATATATTCCTAGAAATTAATGAACAAGACATAAGATATAAATTATTCTAAGGCTCTTAATGAAATTTACTCTGCAGAAACTTGTAAGTTTACACTTATACCAGCAGTAAGGGAAAGTGGTTCATCTTCTAAATTCTCAACCTATATTATTGTTACTTTTTAAATCATGCAGCTAAAAAATGGTATCTTATTGTTTCTAAGTAAAGTTGCACATTTTCCATATATCATTTGGCCCTTTGTATTTCTTTATAAATTTTCTCTTTGTGTCCTTTGCCTATTTTTCTAGGACACACAGATTTTTCTATTGATTGATAGAAATATTTATATATTAAAGGTATTAACCTTTTGTCACACAGTGCACATATTTTCCCAGTTTTACATTTGGCTTCTAATTCTATTTATGGGTTTATGAGTTTTTTTCTTAGTTTTAGGTAGACACAATATTTTTATTTTATTTTATTTTTTATGTGGTGCTGAGAATCGAACCCAGTGCCTCATGCACGCTAGACGAGCGCACTACCACTAGAGCCATATCCCCAGCCCTGGGTTGCTGTTTTGTTGTATGTATTTTTATTACTGTTTTGTTTCTAACTTTGCTTTTCTGCTTAAAGGGTCTACTTCATACTAATCTTATGAATAATTGTTCACTTATATGTTGATTTTTTTGGTGTTTGGTTTTTGGTACTGGGGATTGAACCTAGGGGCACTTTACCACTGAGCTACATCCCCAGCTGTTTTTTTGTTTGATTGTTTTTTGGTTTTGGTTTTGTTTTTGAGGGAGGTCTTGCGGAGTTGCTTAGGGCCTTGCTACATTGCTGAGGTTGAGCTCAAACTTGCAATCTTCTTGCCTCAGCCTTCAGAGCTGCTGAGATTACAGGTGTGAGACACTGAGCTTGGCTTTATATGTTCTTTAAATATGTTTTGTCATAGTTTTCACACTTAACATTTGAATGCATTTAGAATTTACCTGGGGCATGATATGAGGCAGTCATCTAACTCTTAGTTCACCTTTTTGTGTGTGTGTGGCGATGGAGATTGAACCCAGGGCCTTGTGCATGTGAGGCAAGCACTATAACAGCTAAGCTATATCCTCAGCCCCATAAGCACCATTTTTTAATAACTTTTACTTTGTAATTTGACTTTTTCCACATGCTAAATGTTTAGAAATATTCTAGGGTCTCTATCTCTGGGCTGTATATTCTGTTCCATTAATCTGTCAGTCTGTTCTTGTGCCAGTACCATGCTATTTCAATTACTATAGCTTTAAAATGGCTTTTATCTTCATTGCACTTTTTAAAACACTTCCTTGATTAATCTCAGTGATTTGCTCTTCCTGATAAACTTTAGAATTACCTTGTGCTTAGAACTTTATTTATATTAAACTATAAACATGGAATAAATTATGTCAAACTTTCCATCTTCTTCAGGAATATAATATATCCTTTAGCTTTCTTTTTTTAGATTGAACCATATGAAATTGCCAGCATCCCACATTTTGACATATTCAAATGGCAATTTCGTATGTTTCAACCTTTGAAAAGGTATTTTCTTCAGATGGTATTTATGCACTTTCTAAAAAAGATACCTTCTTTAAAAAGAAAAAAAAATGTTGCCAGGCATGCTGGTACACACCCATCATCTCAGTGACTTGAAGGCTGAGGCAGGAGGATTCCAAGTTCAAGGCCAGTCTCAGCAAATTCACAAGGTCCTAAGCAACACAGCGAAACCCCATCTCAAAATAAAAATAAAGAAAAAGAACTGGTGATATCACTCAGTGATGAAGTTACCCTGGGTTCAATCCCTGTTACAAAAAAAGAA